CGAGGGAAAGGCCAGGCTTGGGTAGGCCTTGGGGAGTCATTTCCTTTTAGATGGTCAATATAGCCAAAGGGACTGGGCAGGGTCACAAGTTTGAGGTGTTTCTTTCATGTGAAAATGTGTTCAGGACTCTGAGTAACTCCCCTAAAATAATGAAGGTTAGAGAACTGTTTGTAAACTGTTACTCTTAAATGGTTGAGGCTACACATCACTGGGTCTTGGCTAGTATCTGAAGTGGAGTAGGTACATGATACTATGTTTACCAAATGATGTTTAAAGATTCAAGAGACCTTTCCCCATCTTAATGAGACATTTTCTGTTCAGTTGTTTTGATAAAGTTACTTAATTGTGTTAACCTGCAAGATATAAAAACTACACATTGTCCTCTTTTTTGTAAGGCCTGGAAAAAAAGGCTAATCCACATTAGGAAGATTTCATTTAAGACCTTGTGAGAAAACTCAAGACTTTGTGCTATAATCACCAAACCTTGCCTGTGTTATGGAAAGATTTTTGCCTGTGTCATGTCATCCTTGTTTTGTTCGATTTATTCCTCCCCCTCCAAGTGTCCTAGTTTCTCTTCTACTGTAGTTAGCTTTGAACAAAACAGGGAAACATTTTTTATTTGGTTACTCAGTTGTTGTTTTTCAAATAGGTGTTAATACATCCTTAGCAATTTTTTTAAAATCCTCACTGAAGGATATGTTTCGTGATTTTAGAGAGAGAGAAAGGGCAAGAGAGAGAGGGGAAAAAACCCCACATTGATGTGAGAAAGAAACATGGATCGTTTGCCTCCTGTACGCTCGACCAGGGATTGAACCCAAAACCTAGGCACGTACCCTGATGGGAAATTGAACCTGCCACCTTTTTGGTGTATGGGACGACGCTCCAACCAGTTGCTAAGGTCACTTGACTGGGACCTTAGCAATTTTCAAATCACATGTTTCTTTTCTTTTCTCCCTGACTATAAAGGAATTAGACATTGGAAAAGATAAAGTATAAAACAGTGATCCACCTGTAATTCGAATAGCCAGAGAGAGAATGAGCGTTTACTATTTTGTTTTAATTCCTTCTGATCGTTTGCCTATATTATATATGTATATGGAAATAGTTTATATATTTGGAATAATGCTATAATCCTGTTAAGAACTTTTAACCAGTATTATATAGTGCATATTTTATGATAACTTATAATATTTCTAGAAACATGATTTTTGAAATTGCAGAGTATGGGTAAATTCATGCTGGCTTTTAACAACAACAACAAAAAATCTCAAGATGATCTCAGTAATTGACAAATCTTCCTAAGACTAAAACTCCAACCAAACAGAATACAAACACTGAAAAAGTCTTTGAGATACTACTCTGAAGTTTGAATTTTGTGGTTTTAAAAGATCTTGATTTGAAGTCAGCTTTCACACTTTTCTTACTCTCTTTGGTTATGTTAACTTAAAATTTAATTACCTTTCACACACTTCACTGCTTTCCATTGGAACATACTGGTCCAATGTGACCCTTTGTGGTATTTCATAAAATTCCACCTTATAAGCCATCCTAATTTTCTAAGTGTAGTAAACAATATTGAGCACATTCTTTTGGTAATATGTCAGAAGTGCTAAGAGCCATAAAAAGGCGTGCATTTAATGTAAGTGATACAGAATTACAGAATTGCCATGTATTTTTTAACATTATTTTGAAAAAAAAAATCCCCAAGAGGTGTGAGACTAGAAGCAGCCTTTCCTTTTGGTAGTCCTTCTGGTAGACCCAGCCCTGGTCATTCACAGGTGTGCCTCCTGTGACCTTCCTTGCCAGTAATAACAGTGGGGAAATCCAGGCTACTATCCCTAGCGCTCCCTTTGCTAGATGCATCCTGCCCACATCGGGAAGCTGAAGTTTCTGCCTCAGGACACCAGTCCCTTCTTGCTCACACAGGCTCTGTGTTAATAATCACTTGATTAACACAGAGCCTGTATTTGCTTGGAAAACTCCTCTTCAACCTTATGTAGCCCTTGACCCTTGACTCTTTTGGCTCCATGTTCCCCTCCTTTTCTCTCCAACCAGCTTTCTCTGTGCCTTCTTCTCCAAGATTCGAATCCCATTTTCTTAGGATTTATTTTAAATCTCGGAAATCTCATTGTGTCTGCTATTGCTTTGATGGAGATTATGACTCAGAAGCTATAAAAATGGATACATAAAGTATGTAAAATTTTAAATTGGGCTATGTTATTTATAGTTTTATAGTTCACGATTCTCAGCAGTATATTGTGAAAGTTTTCCCATGTTGTAAAATATTCCTTGAGGACATGAACATATAGATATCTGTACTTTATTTTCTCTCTGGTTGATCATCAAGAGTGCTTACAGTTTCTCAGTTATGTTTTATAAGGAGCCTCTTGGTCTGTATGACTCGCCTATAATTCCTGATTTATTTCTGTAGACTCTTTGTTTCCTTCTCAGTGATACCCCCTTTTAGACTTTCTTCATCTTTATTTATTCTATTGCAACACATTGCTAGCATGTTTCCTTGTTTCCAGTTTCAGAGGACTCAAGGTTGCTCTGCCCCACTGATAACCTCAATGACCTTGGAAACTACAGCACATCTGTGACACCGCTGTGTCCATATCTGTTTAAGAACTCCAGTCACTTTCATCCATCCCCTCATACCTTCTTCCTGAGCCCTCTGATTTGTGGGGGGGAACCTGCAGTGTCACACATTTGGGCCTCTGAGTTTATGATGCTATCTGCCATCAGTCTTCTGTGCTGCTCAACTTCTTTGACTCAGCCCACCTCTGTTTCCTTTTGCTCCCCAGTTGTTCCAGACTTTGATGTTCTTGGCTCAGTCTCTAATCCCTCTCCCACTCTCAGCCCATGACCTTGTCTTCTGCTTCTCTGCAGCAGCAGCCCTCAGTTGGAGCAGTACTATAAATTGCCCTTCCCTCTACCTAGTTCCTATTTACAGCAGCAATTGTCCTTTCTTCGTATATATCGCCTCAGAAGCAGCTTCCACCCCTTCTCCAAGGGCACCAACCACTTCACTCTGCACAAAGTCCTGTCCTTTTAAACCAATGGTTCTCAACTGGGGGCATCTTTGCCTCCTAGGGAACATTTAGCAATGTCTGGAGATAGTTTTTGGTTGTCACACCCGAGGAGAGCTGCTGTCTAGGGGGTAGAGGCCAGAGATGCTGCTAAATATCCTACAATGCACAGAACAGACTCCCTTTCACATCAAGAATTAGCTGGCCCCCAACGTCCGTAGAGCCCAGGTTAAGAAAGCCTGTGTAGATTAGTCTTAGACCTAAGCCATGCTCCATTGCTTGTCCAGTGTCTGCATTCTTGTCTCTTTTCACCATAGCTGCTTTGTGGAACATCATTTGTTGTTGTTTGTTTGTTTGCTTTTCTTTTCAGAATATTAGATTTGAGAAGTTTCTGGATACCCTCAAATAGTAGTGTAATGGGAGCAGGGATAGTAACTCAGCATTGAGACCCATTGTTTGTGTTGAATCTACTTTAGCATCTGTTCCTAGATCGTGGTGCTTCCCTGGTTGGTTGGGTCTCACTTCCCTCTGGATGGAGAGACTTGAACTAAGGTTTCTAATGCTCCCACCATTGCTACCATTTCCTAATTCAGTGTTAAGATTGTTGTTGACCAGGTTTAGTTGCATTTTAGTGGAGGTTGGGCCAAGGCTGATCTTCATGAGTTGGGAGAAAGATGTAGTTAACCTGAAAGTGGATGCACACCATGCGGTCAGTAAGTTTGATTGTTAATGGTGGTAGCAAAATTGTAGTTGGAAAAATTAAGTGTGGGCTTTTTCCTTCTCCCAGAATAAGATTTTTCGATGCCTTTTTCCAAGGCAGAGCTGTGGACAGAGAAGGAGGAAACATAATAAAATGAAATGTTTGGCTGTGGGAAAATGATTATTAATCAGAAATGTGAATTCTGTCTTCACTTTTTATATTAATACTTGGAGTTTCTGCTCTTAAATTGAGATTGTTTAGCGCTTATGTGTCCTCATTTTCTGCTTAAACCTTGAGGTATTTTTCTTATTTCAAGAATTCTACTGAAAATGGTTGGAACTGTCAACCTGTGAGGAACTATCTATGAGGGTGTATTTTTGAGGACACGGTTTCTGGTAGTAGTAGCCCTGTGCCCACTTTCACCATCAAGACGTCAGTGATCCTCCCAGCCACCAGAGGTCGCTGGCTGCCCTGGTGATCTGTTTTGTCATTCCAGCACCTCCGGGAATCCTAGCCTTTGAGCACCTGTGGGAACTCGAAAGTCTAGTTTAGAGTTTCTCATTTGACATGCCAGGAACACTTAATGAGTGAGCATGCCACAAAATTGGAGTTCATGTGAAAAGTTAGCCTTTTGCTATAAGTAAGAACATTTCCTGTGTCAGCCACACCTGTCGTTGTGGAGTGGAGTTTGACCTGCTTCAGGCAAGAGCAAAAAGGAGTCCTTTAGTGCCAGTCACAAGCCTAAGAAAGTGCACACATTTTACTTGGCCCTGGGAGTTGAGCAGAATAAAGGGTGGTCAGTTCTGTAAACTGTACCCCTCAAATGGGGCTCGGAGCCCTTGATCTATGCCTGGCATCTGAAAATGGTTTACACACCAGAGATGTTGGATTCATAGGGAGATCTGTCTCTCTTGTGATACTAAATCCCCCCATCTTTTCTGTTTGGTGGTGTAGTTTGTATCATAGTTCTATTTGAAACCTCGGGCACCATTTTAAACAGCCCAATCCCAGGTTATATTACTTAGAAAACCATGTGCTTTATGGGTATTGCCTGTCCTGTCAGGCAAGTCCTCCATTCATATTTCTATCATCGAGAACTGTCATTTGAAGAAGCAATGCTGCAGGTAACAGCGTTCTGGCAGGTGTGGCTGTGTCAGCTGAATGAAGA